GCCGTCCTACACTCGTTGGTGTGTGTGGTTGTGCGTTTATTTGCATGGCTGTGTGCCGGAGTGTTTGTGTGTGTGTGAGCAGATTGCACAATGGGAGGATTGTATGTGATCTATATTCATGTGGCACAGATTCAGTGGCCATGTGCGCACAGGCAGGCTGGGAATGATCAGATGGAGGAAGAGGGGTTCATAAAAAAACATCCAGAGGGAAGAACAAATTAAAATGATATATGGAAAAGAAGCTCTATTAAAAAAATTGGGTTTTAAATAACCAAAGGCATCGGTTTAGTCCTTTTAAGCTAATGTTGTTTTACTAACCATAAATTGGAACAAATTGAGACCAAACGAGATAAATGTCAGGGCTTTAGTGCATTATACTGTGTCTAATTGTGTTTCCTGTTGGCGCTACACTCTGCATACAGGTGGGACCTGCATTCTCCTGAGAATACCTCGTGAAAAGCTACATTTCTTTTCAAGGGTGTACAAGCTTCTCCCGGAGAGGTGACTGATAGTTTAATTGGATGCATAAATATTCCCCAGATTAGTCTGTCAAAGCGGCAACACACTGACACTCACACTGAGCGGTGTACAAAGTCAGGAAGAGATAGAAAGAGAGCGCAAGGAACTGAAATGAAAAGTGAACTGCTTTGTAAAAGTGCACGGTTTGCCTGTTCATTTCAATAAGGCATGTTTAACTTTCAGCTATATCCAGAGTCCCGCAGAGTGAAGAAGAAAGAGGGTGTAGGGAGAGAAGAGAACGAGTGATGATGAGAAATGAAGGGAGAGGCAGCCAGAACTCCTTGGTAACCAATGCACAGAGGAGCAGAGGGGCCGGTCCTACACCCCTCCCGCTGTGTGTGTGTGTGTGTGTGTGTGTGTGTGTGTGTGTGTGTGTGTGTGTGTGTGTGTGTGTGTGTGTGTGTGTGTGTGTGTGTGTCTCCAAGGACTGGACTGCCTGAGGGGGGAGTGTTGGACTCAGTGTGTGTTTAGAGAGAGAGAGATAGGTTAGAGAATCATAGTAGACGCTCGCACAGACTCCTCGCCGGGCTGCGTGTAGTCACAATGTGAGCCGAAACCAGAACCACTTCATCCCCTATTCCTCTCTGTTTACCTGGACTTGGATATTTTGTGTCTGTCAAGGACAGTTTAAAAAAAATAGAAGGACACATACATTTAACCGGAATAATGGTGTTTATCGGGACCTCGTTAAAATCTGTGATTAAATACTTCAAAAGGAAGGGTAAGATGTGTTTTATTCTACTCTATATTGATTATCAATGCGTCTGAGAAGTATTTTCTGCTGGTGGAGTGGATCTCAATTTGTTTTTGTATCAATTTGACAGGAATATTTAAATACTAGTGTCTGTAATTACTCCATTGGTCCCTGCTAATTTGAATGGCCATTTTGAATCACGTTATTGAAGCTTGGCTGTATGTAATGTGTATACAACATCTTAAATGATTTATATACTTTCAACACAAACAAATGCTTCACTGCTGACTCTGCTGAGCCCAGGGACGACCCTCTGTTGGACCCTGTTACCAGGTAACCACTGGGACAACACTTCACAGAGCCGAAAAACTATTAGCTGTAAATAACCCGACAGCGTTTGTAAAGGTAGCAGCTGGAAGCCTTTTGGACAACAGCCACTCGATTAGATATAGTTGGGCCATTTTCTTTCTTTCTGGAGCAATTTAGACGTTTTTTAATGTTTACTTGGTTCTAAACACTCCCGATAATCTGATCTTGATATTCAAAGAAACAATTGTAGGTCTGTTTGCCAAGCATGTGCAGTGGATTCTTATTAGCAGGATTAGTTCATGCTCCAAGGCTGTATAGTGTAGATATTCCTTCAATGGCTGTGTATTAAGCAAATGAGGGTTTAACAACAGGGCGAGCTGACTGTGCGGACTCTAATCTCAGGTGTATTCATAACATGTGTTACAGTCAAGGCTGAGGTGATATTGTTAATGATTAGCTCAGCGTTTTCCTACCTCACGCGTCTTATCTTGCACATGTCTGCACTTTGCGCCTCAGCTGGGCCCCTTGGTCCTCGACTGCAGTCCAGAGACCCCCATCTTTTTTTATACTATCAGGACTGCACAAACTTTGAAGATATAAAAGATGTAAACTGCATTGATTCTATGATATTAATAATCATGTGAGGCATAAAGATACCCTTGACATTTGACCATTTTCAATACGACAGGTAGAACTAAAATGCTTTTTTATTTTATTACGTTATCAAGAGGGTCTGTTAAGAGAAATATCCCCTATAATCTCTGCGTTTACAACCCTTTCTTTAACTAGTATGTTATATCTCAAAAATCTACCTGAACAAATGATTATCCTTAAAGAACATAGAGCGTTTTATTATGCATGAAAGTCAATACTATATTTGCTGATGATTGGGGAACCAGTTCAGTATTAACCTAGGTTATTGATTGTAACAGCTAATAATGAGTGCGTGTCTACGTGCATTCAAATGCATTTTCCAGTTGTCCTGTGCAGCCTCTGATGTCACCTGTTTGCTCAGAGTTTTAGTGTAGGGATGTAGATGGCCAGAAGGATTAGAAGACTCCTCAAAGAGTGTGTGTGTGTGTGTGTGTGTGTGTGTGTGTGTGTGTGTGTGTGTGTGTGTGTGTGTGTGTGTGTGTGTGTGTGTGTGTGTGTGTGTGTGTGTGTGTGGAGCTAGGGCATATTGTGGCACTGAAAGGCCTGATGTGGAGACCGATGCAGAGAGACAATGCAGGCTTTGTGTCCATAGTCCCCATGTCCTTGGTCTGCCTAGCCCTGCTGAGGTCTATTCAAACCCCACGATCTGAAAGGGGCTGGGGGAGGGCTACCTGTGCTCAGTGTGTGTGTGGGAGAGCAAGAATATTAGAAATGGGTTTCATAAGAAATAGATTAAGTACACCCTTATTAAGCCAGACAAGCTGATTTAAGGATGTAATCTTATTTACTCACAGCTGAAGTGACACTGCCTTGCATATTGGTCTGGTGTGAGCTCCAAAATAAACTACTGGCCTGCTTTTATAACCTTCACATTTCAAATTCAACATCTCCAGTCTGGACTTGTGTTCAGAGGATTATTGCCTATTGAAGATTTGATTGATTATTCGGACCAGTGTAGGCAAGCTGCTACACCATGTTGAACAACACTGTTAGACCATCACAGTAAAACCCTGTTTACATATACACAAGTTTACACCCATCACACACCCTCACAAAATGTAAAAACTGAAGGTGTTGTGAGTTTTTTGGCAACCCTTTAGGCTCGTGGTGTTACAGTCCTAATCATTTTTCGCGAAGATCTGTACAAGACTATGTTTATAAGAGGTTATTCTGTTGGGACTCCGGTCGCAGAACTTATTCTACACACAAGATATCTTGTTGTTTGTTTTTTCCCTGCATGCATTGTGCCCTATGTGTTACAACTGACTCATGTGGTTGTTGTTTATAAAGTAAACAACAGGCTCTCTGTCTCTGTTGTATTTTTACTCATACATTGCCAAGCATGTAAAAAGGAATTAGAAAATATGTTGATGAAGAGAACTTTTTTAAGTGTTTGGTAACAGGGTGAATGGAGACATGAATAAACACAATGACCTCTCCCTATGGCAGTCAGCGGCTGACCGTTCCTCCTAGAGGTAAAAGGTTGTAGAGACAGACGTAAGGGTGCCATTAGTCAACAGCAGAAGTTGGCACACTGGACTGCTGCTTAAAAATAGATATCCAACGTATGTACCCATTAGTCGCACAGTGCTAGTCACAAATAGCTAAAGTTCGATAGTCACAGAAGATCTTCTCAGAGTCTTTTCAGACATTATAAAAACAGTGTCACAATCTCACACTTTCTCCAACGACCAATTTGCAGCCATAGGCATACCGCCCTTTAGGCCTCCTGTCCTCCCCCGACACGCACACACACTATGCATCCTACTATGGCTCATTAGCACCTGTGAAAGGCATTCAACCAAAACCAGTCCACACTCCCGGCCCCTTTCATGACCCGTCCCCTTCCTCCTGGGTCCTCCAAACCCTCAGTCACAGTCAGTTGGACATGTTGTGATGGTCAGGACAGGGACAAACATAGCAGTCTTAAATGGAGCTAGTCCTACACCCACGCTCACCAACTTTGGCTTGGATACGCTCACTTGGTAAGCTTAACTTTTGGGAAGTGTACTTGTTAATCTTGGTGTTTACTCTCAGTCGTTTGGCTGACACTTGTATTTTGTGGCTTACATATTCAGCATGGGAATAGGCTTCAGTTTCTGGGTCATCAGCATTACACACCATCAGCCGTAGCAAAATAGAAAGCAGCTAAATATTGTTTAAGGATGTTGAACTGAAAGAAGTGCTCAAGGAAAACCATCAAGAAACAGAGGAGTGTGTTCCCTATTTAGTAAAGACAGGTGGTTTGATGTTTAACACAGTAGTGTTTGTTAAGCTTTTAAATACTTTTGTGATCTAGTGATTTCATTGAATGAGTATTTGTTATTGTTTTTCTGAAGCGATTTCTCTCAGGACTAGTTAGCTAGTTTCAAAGTTAGCTTTTGTACCTTTTCAGTATCATGTTTATTTTTCTGAGCTGGGTATCATGTGGTTAGTGTTTCCCTCCAACTTATTCATCCCTCCTCCCCCTCGGACTTGTGTGGCCTTGTGTGTGATGTCTCAGATGTGTGTCATGTTGTTGGTGTGAAGATTTGCACCTCGATGCAAAGCACCTTAATCTACTTCCCCTTCCTCTTCTCCGACAAAAATAAACAAATCCCTCTAGTTGCCACTACTGCCTGTGCAGGACACTATTCATTCTCAGACTCTGTTACCAAAGGATTTAGACTTTGTTAACCCTATTTTTGTCATATTTCAACTGTTGCTGGTCTGCAACAACTGGTCATGGGAAGATGTTTTCAGAATACCCTTCAGGAGTGTTAATACAATTGGAAGTTGAACTAAATCAACTAAATTCTCTGACCTTATCTCTGTGTTTCTGCAGCTGTGTCCAACCTGGATGAGGAGAGCAAGTGGACGGTGCATTACACAGCTCCGTGGCACCAGCAGGAGAACGTCTTCCTGCCTGGCAGCCGCCCCCCCGCCGTAGAAGACCTCCACCGCCAGGCCAAAGTCAACCTGAAGAGCGCCCTGCGAGGTAAGGATTACTATAATTGGACTGCTTCAGAGAGTTTGTAATGATCCAACATGATCACAACAACAAACAATGGTGGTGGGTTATCTGATATTCAGGTATGCACAATGGGTCCAGTGCTGCTGTTGGCAATGAGTATAATATTACAGCCTCTAGAATTAATACAAAACATGGAAGAAAGCAATTTGACATGGTGAAGTTGTCTTGTGTTGTTTAACTCAATATACAATCATGTAAAAGGTGGAAGTTTGTTTCAGCTCTAATTGAAATGTTTTTGAGGAATTTTATTTCAAATGTATATATGAATAGCTTCCCCAATCAATCCTTTACTTCCCTATCAACTAAATCTACAAATATACACACTTAAAAATCTAAATTGTGGGAATATTGCCGGACCTCCTCATATTTGGAACTGAACATCAGGGCGTCAGAGAAAAGATCAGCTGTGTTTGTCTGCAACATTGTTAAAATGTCCAAACCTGTAAACTGTGTTCACCCCAAAGTTTAGCCAACAACACAACGGTGCGAGATCCTCTCCTTCCTGTTTGTCCAGTCCAATCAGAGAAAAACAGACACAGCCTTGTTGTCAGACAAACACAGGGAGTTGAGTGACAACAGAGTGACAACTTTTTAATATCCAGGATAGTGGGAATGCCAGTTAATGCTGGCACCTGTTTACCCAACAGTTCCTGGGAACCAGAGCTGGGAAAGTTGTCCGGTCATTTCTAAGATAACGGATGACAGGCAGGTGTGAGAAAAAGCTTGGAAGAGTGTGGGTGGGTGCGTACGTACGTGGGTGGATTTTTTTACAGTCAAGGCTTGTTGTTTACATAGGGTGACCTTGTTTAGTGCCAGATAAAAACCAGGCTAATAGAGGGAGATAGAGATAAATAGGGAGAAGCCGGTTGTAACATGATGCCTACAGTGTGTAAAGCTTTAGTCATCGCCGTAAACAAACATACACACACCCCAAGTTGTTTTTCTTTGTCCTTTGCATTGTTTGACACCTTTGCTGTTGCATATTTCTTCCTGCAATATTGATGTTGCTAGGTACTCAAACACCACCTGGTAGGTAGGATTTATTCAGCCCCCCCTCCTCATTCTGTCACTGGCCTTTCCTCCTGTCATCCCTTCCCAGCCCCAGGGGTCCTCACTGAAAGACAACAGGTGTCCAATGGGAGCACCTGTGCTGAATGTGTCTTTGTGTTTAAGCGCTTCGTGTTATGGTCCACTCCCATGCAGCTGAGAGTGGAGGTTACACATCTAACTACAGCCCAGCCTCAGAAATATATTTAATTTAGTGTTTACTCAGTGGTTTTTGCATTATTTCCAAATACAACAATATAAATACTTTTGCATACTACTTTAATCACTATATTTCATTACATTTCCACAATAATAACAGTATTTATACAAGATATTTTATTACTTATTGCTTAATTTATCAGGAGCGCATACCCAAATAGTCCTTAAACCCAGTGCTTGCATGAGCATAGCAGGATACACATATCTACTTTCTACACTGCAAAGGCAAATAATCAAACAATCAGATGGCATGTGCTTCCCCTTTTTGTTTCACTCTCACATGGATTTCTGTGTGTGTTCAGCCGTGAGGCTTTTGCAAGCTGCTGGTGAGATACAGAAAATACCCCAACAGGTCGACATAGAGCAGAGGTTTTACATAACACTCGCCTGTGTGTGTCAATAACATCACAAACAATAAAGTCAATGATGTCATTCAGTGTTAACCAGGGCACCAGCTTGTTGTTAGGATTTATTTTTCTTTTGCAAGAATAAATGTGAATTAATAATAATGTATTTTCTAGCTGTGAGGTCATACAGAAACTCTAAGATATAATGTTTTAAAAATATTGTTATATTCTTTTAATTCTCTCTATCCATTAGTCTCTCTGCTCCTTGTCTCGTGTCCCCTCCCTTCACTTCTTCCTAGCAACAAGCAGCTCATCAAGTCCTATTTATCTAATCAACCTTCCCCAATCATCACAACTGCTCCGCTCCCCCTCATCATCCTCATCACGCTTCTTAAAACCCTTCTTCCACACCGCTACCACATCAGCTTGTTACACTTGCTACCTTTGCCAACCCCATTAGGATCCATTTACTGACAGCATTATACATGCACCAGCGTGTGTCTCCACAGAGATGGGCTGCAATTAGCTATGGAGATAGATGCCACATGAAAGGGATCTGAAGCAGCATCTCTGAGGTGCCAGGCGAGGAGCGATGTGGCTGTACACACGTGTCACTCAGCAAAAGGGATTTTGATTGTGCATCACACACTGCTTAAATCCCAATGAAGCAAGATAGAAGACCAGCGAGGTTTACATTTGTATGGATTAGGGATAATATGCAGAGAAAGACATGTATGCATGTCAGTTGATATGCTTTCAATTTAGAACAGGGCCAATTTAGTTTATTTTTTATTCGAAACTTTTCAAAAACAAATGTGTGAGGTTCATAATAAAACAGTACATCAGCAAATGGAAACACAACCCCCAACTGTGTGTTTTAGTCATAGCAGTACTACGTGAATATAATTAGCTAATTCAAGACTCGACAAAGGATATACTAGTAGATACTTGCAGTGACAAAGAGAGATGATGTGCTAAATGCCCCCTTAGAGGAAGAGGGGGATGGAGGAGAGAGAGGGACAGTTCTGCCATCTGTGTGTTACAGACTGAAACTGATACCCCCGCCTATTACACACACACACACAATCATATATCAAGTATTTTCTTATCACACAGTGGCATACACACACAAACACACACACACACACACACACACACACCCAGACGTACATCACCAGCCCGTCACAGCAGGTGGTGACGAGAGGGAGTGTGAGCAGCGCTTGGCAGCGTCAAACAGGGACTGATACACTGATGAACACACACACACACACACACACACACACACACACACACACACACACACACACACACACACACACACACACACACACACACACACACAGTTATAGCAAAATACGTCTTTCTGTGTCCTATAGATATTTCACACATCCCTACTACTTTAGTGTTATTGAATTACTTATTTATGAATATTGTACGCTCAAATTAGCCTGTACAAATTACACATTACATTTTTGGTACATCAATATATCTTGGAGTAGCAAAGAAGGATGAGTGTGAACTGTAGAAACTCTTCAGTATCACACTCAACACAAGCTCTGTTCAAAAGTATTGTGATCATTTCCCCTGACAAATTATTCGCAAATATATACCCGTGATCTTAATGAGTATCTGGTTGCAAATGTTAAAAGCTCAGAGAAAGACAACGATCAGGGCAATCCAAGTATTCGTTGTCTATATTAACATATTCCTTTGTTGTTGTTTGTCCTGCAGAATGCGACAAGTTGAGGAAAGATGGATTCAGGAGCTCTCAGTACTACTCTCAGGGTCCCACCTTCTCTGACCCCTTACAGTCCAACAGCAGCCTGCAGGATGAAGAGGAGGATGATAAGAAGGTACACAAACACAACTTTTACAGTCAACACATTTAGATGTTATTGAAGTACATGTGTTCACAGCAGTGCTTTGCAACTGATTCAGCAGAAACTCATCTCCAGTACTTTAAGCAGTGTCAGAATGCCCTCTAGTGGTCAGATATTATAATGCACATTTTTCTTAATTTACAATAAATACTTCTCTGACTCCCTGGCAGACAGTACTTTCCAATTTATTTTTTACACAAATAATTTTACATTTTAATTTCTGGATTTCTACCCTGTTGGTCTAGCTATTTAAAATAGTCTAGCAAACAATATTTTGTGAGTTAGTTAGAAATGATTTTACTTAAAGGGGACCTATCATGCAAAATGCACTTTGTGATGTCTTTTATACACAAAATAAATGTGTCCCTGGTGTGTCGGGGAACTCACGCAGCGTCAGAAAATAAAACCCTCTCTTTTCCTCCATACCCAAATCTTTTAAAAACGTGTGTACAACGAGCGGATACAGATTTCCATCCGCTGTGACGTCATAGCGGCGGCGGACCCACAGAAAGTTGCTATCAGAAACAATGCCTAACGTGTTTTGGACGTAATCTCGTCTTTGTTTACATTAGCAAGCCTCGCTAACACTCAGAGCTAACCTGTAGAGCACATGTGTTTAAAAAGCAGGAATTAAAAAGAACTCACCTTATGATAAACCCACAAGACAAAAAGCATTTGAGCTCCATACTGTTTCAGAAATAATCTTTGATGTGGTTTAGAACAGGATGGCGTTTTATCACAGCAGAATTTAACTTTATCTCCG